GTGTTTGTATTTCAGGCCAAACTGGAAATAAAGCTCAATTATGTCACGTACTGTATTTCCATTTCAGTAAACACACAGCTAGTCCAAAATGATCTGAAAGATCCTGTGAGCTATCTCGTGCGCACAACTTACTAACTAGTGGTAACGAGATACCAACTTGTGCGCACGACTTACTAACTGGTGRGAACGAGATACTAACTGGTGGGAACGACTTAGTAACTGGTGGGAATGAGATAGTTTTGTTTTTTTTCCAATCTATGTCCCTTTAGGGGCTCAGTAGAAGTAAATGATCCCGACGTAACTTTTCTACAGCGGGAGGGGGGGATTTTGAGGATTTGTTCTCTCTAAACGTGTTTTAAAAGGCTATATTTCTTCATTATTTGGAACTCCAGCTCAGGTGTCTCTGCACTCGCAGCCATGTTGACACAGGTGCGATGACGTAATGATGATATGACAGTAGAGGGTAAATTTCTACCGTAGGTCAACTTCATTCTGTTTCTACCGTCTACCGCATATACCGCACAGCCCTATGCTGCACTGTAACCATGTTGGGTTCTGACCAAAGCAGGTTGCACACATTTCTGTAGGACTTGAGAAAATTGTGTGTGAAAGTTGTTTCCTTACAGACACACGAATGACAGCATCATTCAAAACTACTGGTTTTTAAATATCCAAGCTTTCCATCCTAGTCATTCTTTTTGAAAATAAAAAAAATGTGTCCAAGCAGCAGCTAAAATCCCTGCAGCTTAAGATGAATAACCTCAGCGTCTGCTGCTTGTGTTTCCTAAAACAAGTTCTGATGCCAGTAGAGATTATTGCAAACAAGATAAAACCACTTCAACAGACACAAGAAGCTGCTTCTTCTGACTGACCCATTCCTGACACCAACAACTTAGAGCAAATTAAATATTCACCACGACTAAAACACCCAATGCTGAAGGTAATGATGTTTTTGCCTGTTTGTGTGTCTGTCCATCATTTCTCTTCATAAGATGATCTTAATCTAAACTTTTGGCAAGGCAAGTAATTCACATTCCTTTAATGAATGCTGGGCATTTAATTTATTATTGATTTGAGTAACTAGAGTTACTCCTTGAATCTTTTTGGCCTTACCAAGCATTAAGCAGATAAGTTTCATGGTGATGAACACAAGTGAGGAAGAAAAGGTTTGTAGCTTTGTCAAGGAAAAAAAAACTACAGAATGACTTCTTTTAATTGAAAGGCTCCCCAGTCACACATGTCCTTAACGCWGCTGAAATGCTCACATGGATTCAAACTATGATGAGTCAGCGTTTAGAGCACTTCATTTGTCTCAGACTATGGTTTCTAATCACAAACTAAAAGCGTGTCTTACCATGAACAGCTGCAACAGCAGCACCAGCAAAAGCAGCAGGCATTGGGCCGCTGGGAGTTCTGGGTAGTGGTGAAGCTCCGCCTCTCTCCCGTCCCACTGAGAGGTGAGGCCTCGCTGCGACCTCCCCCCATGACCAGCTCACCCACYCGCTCTGCTGGGATCGGACCTGCGTACTGAACAGAAACACAGATCTTCTGTGATTTTCACTATAGTGACAATAAATCAGAGTTTTAAAAAAAGTTCAAATGGCTTTACAAGGAAGAATGAAATGTAAAAACAATAAATGCTGTCAACAGATTTAGACCTGGTGCAGAGTTAAGGCCTCTACTCCCTCCGAACTACCAAAATTGGCTTTCATTGTTGCAGTTTCACAACAAAAATGTCACCGTGCTCTCAGCGTCAACTCTGCCACCCCTTCTTGTCACATTCTGCCAGTAGTTTATACCCCCATCTGGTTAAGAAGAGGATGTGTGATTGGTCTGAAGTTCAAGGGCGTGTTTGTTTATGCTGAAATCACTCAGATACTTCATTTTGCTTCAACTACTCGCTTCCTGAATGTGACTGCTGTAACAAGAAGCAGACTTTTCTAAAGATTGTGAAAAGTCAAAAACTCTTGAGTGGAGATAAAACTAATTCTGTAGCTCTCCGCTGAGCATTAATCAGGACAGAATTGTAGACAAATATGGCAGATCTGTGTTTTTTTGGGTTATTTTTCCAGAGTGCAGACTGCAGTGGGTAGTAGGAATGMGCGATATAAACAGTGTACGGTAGAAACTATATAAATTTGTCCTATAATAGAGATCTGTAGTCTACTGGCCAAACGCGCAATTCTTTTCAATGACGTAACCGGCTGGAGTCAAAACAGAGGAAGCGGGAAGCTATATATA